AGACTAAGGTGTGTCTGATACAGGCCATCGTCTTTGCTATCACTTGTTATGCATCAGAGAGTTGGACAATGACTAAGGAGGATAGAAGGAGAAATGATGCCTTTGAGCTGTGGTGTTGGAGAAGAGTATTGAGGGTACCATAGACTGCTAGGAAAACAAACAGATTCATTCTGGAAAGGGTCAAACCGGGCTGCTCCTTGGAGGCAAGGATTCTAAGGCTCCGCCTAACATACTTTGGATATGTTGCAAGGAGGGACATCATGCTTCATAGGGTGGAGGGACAGTGCAGAAGGGGAAGGCCCCCTATGAGGTAGATTGATTCAGTGACTGGGGTAATCAGGATGGGTGTATTGGAGACGGTGCGATTGGCACCGGACAGAGCAGAGTTTAGGGATGTGGCACATAGCATCGCTATGAGTAGTAAATGACTCTACAGCACATAACAACAACAACAACCTTTAGAGTATTTCCTTTATTTGTGGCTTCCATTGCTTCTTCCATCATTTGTACTTTCATTCATAGTTTTTCAAATGTCTGCATATCAACATATATCATCTGCTTTCTTAATGCATGAGGTCTGTAATATTCTTTGTGGATTTTTTAGGTTTATTATGGGTTTTCACAGTGTTGAGGCTACCTGCTGTTTTCTCGACATTATGTAACATTTTCTTAATAAATGTGATCATTTCTATTGTGTCTGTGAAAGTTGTTGATGGTCTTGTCTTTATGATTTTACTGATTAATTGCCAAACTGTTTAGTCTTTTGGGTGAACTACTTACTCTACTGTTAACTGTATGTTCAAATATTAATGCATCTTGATGTCATATTCATTCACTTCAGACTTCAAAATTTAGTTGAAATCCTCATCAACATTCAAGCCACCACAGTATGACACTCACAAAGAACCATAGACTGGATTACAAAGGAGTATAAGGATGGTTGTAGCTTTCTACTTCCTAAGACTATCTGGGAAATATGGTGTCCAAGCAAGAGGAGGAGAGAGAATATTACAAAGTAAATGGGACTTCAGACAACATTTTTAGTCAGAAAGTGAAAGAACAAAGAAGTTACCAGTTCCAGGCTAATTCCCTCCCTTTCTTATTCTCACTGACCTCAAACAGATTGCTTTAGAGTAAGAAACTACTGTGACCTTAGGCTATACTTTGAAAATGACCTTTCATTGACTCTTCAAATGAATTAGAGGCAAACAATTCTAGTGTTTTAGTTAATGATGTAATGCATGTGGAAGGAGGGAATGGTTTATTATAGGCCACCATTACAGGTAGAGGCACTTCCTAGCATATACTTTTTTGGTAGATTTGGGAAATCATTGTGCTCTATTATACATAGTGTTTTCGAGGCCTGTCATTTCAGAAGTGGATGGCCAATCCTTCTTCCTAGTGTGTCTCAATTTTTAATATATATAATAGTATCTGACAGACAAGCATTCCACAGAAAACAGCAGATGAAAGACATTTGCCCAGTTATAAAAATGACCAATGGACTGAATGTTGCTGCCTACCTCCACTACATGTTGGGGTTTTTTTTTAAATCCACCCTTTTCTTACTCCACCACCATCACTTCCTACTTTTGCCTACAGCATTCTACACCCGTCTCCCATTGACCAGCCCCTGATGTGATGGCCCAAGTCTCAAGCCATCAGGATTTCTGTGATTCTGAACATATCATGCGGCTGTCAGTCCCTTATGATGCAGCCAGTTTAACTTCATTTTAAAGTTGTTAAGTACTACTGTACTGTGCAACTTCTTTTCCTGGAAGGTTCTGAGAAAAAGTCCTTGTTCTTAAAATTCCACTCCAGGATTGCCTTCTCTTAGGTTAATACCACTTGTCTTCCATTTGAAGCCAGGTGCTGATGCAAGATGGTGGCTAACCAGGAAAGAAGGATGTGTCCTTCATCATCAGTGCACAGTTTTTGTTTCTTGGCCTGAGTGCCACAGGCCCTCAGGCCCAAAACTCTTTTTCTGGCAATGGCATCGGTGTGCGGGCTGGCTAGTGCAGTCAGGATAGCTCCGCCTCTCTCTCCTCCCCGAATCCCAAAAAACTCTTTTCTGGCAATGGTGTCAGGGTGCCGGCTGGCTAGTGTTGAATATACCATGGACTGCTAGGAGAACAAACGGGTTTGTCCTGGAGAAGGTGAAGTCGGAATGCTCCTTGGAGTCAAGGATTCTGAAGCTTCGTCTGACATATTTTGGGCATGTTGCTGGGAGGGACTGGTCCTTGGAGAGACACATCATGTTTGACAGAGTGGAGGGGTGATGCAAGAGAGGAAGACCTTCGATGAGATGGATCAATTCTGTGACTGGAGCGGTGGGAATGAGTGCGTTTGAGATGGCTAGGTTGGCACAGAATAGAACAGCATTTAGAGCTCTTGTACATATGGTTGATATGAGTCGCAAGCGACTCAATGGCACACAGCAACAACAACATGGGAAATCATTGCCATTTAAAGCTGCTTAAGGTATTTTAGATAGTTTTCCTCAAAAAATAATAATTTTCAGAGGGAAGAAATTCCCGACCCTATTTGCCATCCAGGTAACCTCTGGGTCTAAGAGTGATGTAGTTGTTGTTGTTATTGGCCATCAAGTCTCCTGTGACTCATAGCAACTATATGCACAGTCGCTCTGAAGCCTTCCCTGTCCTGAGCCAGTCTCACTCATTCTGACACACTTACCACCAATACCCCAGTTATTGTATCAGTTTATATCATCCAGGGTCTTCCTCTCCTGAACTGCCCCTCCACTCTTCCTTCTTCAAGGACTGGTCCCTCATGGCCATGTGCCCAAAGTATGTGAAACGGAGCTTCAGAATCCTAGCCTCCAAGGAGAAATTTGGTTTCACCCTCTCTAAGACAGATCTATTTATTTTCTTGGCAGTTCATGGTATTTTCAAGACTCTTCTTCAATACTTCAACTCAAAGGCATCGATTCTTCTTCTGTCATCCTTAGTCATTGTCCAGCTCTTTGATGCTTAGCAAGTAATAGCAAACACCATTGCCTGGATTCAATCTCTAGACTAACTTTCCCAGTGCAGTTCATCTTTTAATTTCCTGACTGCTGGTGTCAAGAGTGTTGATTGTGGAGCCACGAAAGTTGTAATTGTTAACAACCTCAATCTCTTCTCTATCTATTATGGTGCTGTCAATTGGACCAGAGGTGAGAATCTTTATCTTCTTGATATTGATTTTCAATCCATTTAAAAGACTATATTCTTTGACCTTCTGCAAAGAGACGTAGAGCAGAGAAAAACAGAAAAGATGGGCAAAAGATCAGGGATATAGAAATTCAGAAATTCAGTACCACTGGGTAGGTTAGTACTAGAATGTTGAGATCTATTAAGCAGAGTAGAACATACAGTTAAATACTTTTTTTTCCATCTAGGTTGATTAATTTGGCAGAGTTCAGAAGTAAAGACTAGATATGAGTTATCTAATGGCAGGACTTAAATCACACAATACATATGATACACATTGATATATGAACATTGATTGTAAAAATTACGAGCAATTTTCACAAGTATGCATCATCACATAATTTTTCAGAGAAATTAAAAGAAGCTCATATAAGGAAACAAAACATATATTATTTATAAAGTCCAAAATATGGGAGAAGTTCCCTTCATTTATCTTCTTCCCTGACTCAGTTCGTTACCTGTGGTCCTGGGCTGTGTACTTGAGAAGCTCAGCCAGCTGTAAGGGATATTTGCAGATCTTCTGCACTGGAGTCAACAGGAAGCCATCAATAGCAATGTCAATCATCTGCTGTAAGAGGCGACAGGCCTCAAAGAAGTGCTGGTAACGGCTGTCCTTCATCAGCTTGGAGAGCTCCATGCAAGCATCCAGGTGGTTATTACAATACTCAGAGTATATCCAAAATCCATCTTGCTGTGAGCAGAGGGAGAAAGGGTAAGGCTATTGAGGGCCAAAAGAAGTCTTGGAGAAATTGAAAAACAGACTCTATA